GAATGGAATGGATCAGACTGGAACCAAACAGAACTGAATATATGGCATGGAATAAAATAGACTAGACTAGATAAAATACTATAAAATACAGAATGGCCTGGCATAGCTTCAATGACCATTCAATCAGTAAACCAGTGTTTCAGAACCTTCGCCATTTTAAGATGTGGTGGACTTCAACTCCCAGAATTCCCCAGCCAGCCGAGTATCTTAAAGCGGCCAAGGTCCAGAAACACGGGATGAGACTGGTAGGGGGCTCGCTCGTTTGCAAGGACATCCCTGGGCTGCCAGTGGGCGACTTAGATTTCCTTCAAAATACCTCCTTTTAGGCTTCAAAGAAATGCAAGCCCGCAACAACCTGGGACATCATCAGGAATTTGGCCAATGCCGAAAAAAGCTACTTCCTGGAGAGTTGGAGGAAGGGGAGACGAGAAGCGTAGGCCAAAATCTAGCTTGACATTTTGGATCCTTTAAAAAAAAAAAAAAAATTAGTCGTACATGCCCACAAAAATGAGGTAGGGTCCCCGGAGAATTAAAATAGATAATGCTGCAGCACCAGAACGGTTGTAAGCGATCCTATGCAAAACCCTTTTAAAAAGCATGACTAAGGGAGTTAAATTTGGATTCTATAATACACAGATATTTTAGAATTTATTTATTTATTTTTTAAAGGAGATCCTGGAAACGATATACCACCTACGCCCCGATGCTTTGTATTTTAACTTCTTCGTCGCCGGCTTTGGCTCAGTTTATCCTTAGCTTGGAGTTACAATTTGGATTTTCAGTTGGGGATCACTTGAGGGTTTGGATGGTCCTTCCCACCTGGGCTATGTAGTAAAGACAGTCCTCCATTTAACATTCATTTAGGGACCGCTCGAACGGACACTGCCAAAAAAGCGACTTACGACCGTTTTTCACACTTAACGACCGTTGTAGCCTCCCGGTTGACTTTGTTCGCCAGCAGGTTGCCCAAGGGGATCAGGTGACACTGCGACTGTCATAAATACGAGCCTGTTGCCAAGCGTTTGAATTTTGATCCCGTGACCCTGAGGATCCTGCAACGGTCGTAAATGTGAAAAACGGTCCTAAGTCCCTTTTTTCCTTCCGCGATGCTGTAGCTTCATACGGTTGACTAAAGGAACAGTTGTTAGCCAAGGAGCATCTGTTTTAAGTTGTGTTGATTAGCAAGTTGGGCCGTTTCCTTTGGTCATCCTGGTAATTGTGATCTTTGCAGAGATGGCGGATAGCCAACTTTCTCCCAACCTCCCACTGCTGACGACAAACGCCACTCAAGGCCAGACTTTCTTCAACGAGACCGTCTTTCGGGCGACAGGCTTGGATTTTGCTCCCTTGAGGTAAGGCTAAACTCCCCCCAACCTGTTTGGCTTCAGACAAAGGATGGTCTGGTTTGGTCTAACCGTTTGGCTAGGTTTAAATCCTTTCTAGATCATGGCTTACCAGCAGATGTGTAGCTCAGGGTTGAACTCTGGGGTCTCTGGAGCTCTCTGAGCTGGGTGGCTTTCTTGCAGGCGTTTCATGACCCAAGTAGGGAACATCATCAGTGTTAGAAGGCAGTAGGGTTTGCTCTCTGTTTGTATACAGTGGTTGCCTGTCACCACCAAGGAACTATCAAGAATACTCTCAATAATATTGACAGGACAATGTATAAATGGAGAGGAAAACCACTCCCTTCTAGCACTGATGATGTTAGTTATTTTGGTAATGAAACGTCTGGAAGAAAACCAAGCGCAGAGAGCACCAAGGACCTCCCAGCCCTCCTCCTCCTCCTCCTCCTCCTCCTCCCCCCCCCCCTCCCCCTCCTCCTCCCCCTCCTCCTCCTCCTCCTCCTCCTCCTCCTCCTCCTCCTCCTCCTCCTCCTCCTCCTCGTAAACCCCACTCCTTCTAGCATTGATGGTATTACCTGATTGGGTCATGAAACGTCTGCAAGAAATTCAGCAAGGTCAGAGAGCACCAAGGACCCCACAGACCTCCTCCTACCCCCCCCTCCTCCTCCCTATTTCCTCTTAGCACGGAAGATGTGACCTAGTTGGGTCACAAAACATCTGCAAAGAAAACCACCAAGCTCAGAGAGCACCAAGGACCCCCCCTCCACCTAAACCTTGTAGCCTGGGGGGGTCCAGAAACGATTTCCCTTTGACGTTGTTGTTGGACTGTAATACAGGCTCTTTTTTTCCTCCTTCCGTTTCCAGGGCAACTCCGGATGTTTCCACCACAGCCGCCGAGAGACTCTTGGCACATTTGCCGATCGGCCAAACCGTGCAACTGGCATCCCAAGATGTTGGCCCAGAATCCTCCCGGGAGGCATCCCTCTCCCAGCATCCCCTGGCTTTCAGCCTCACGGCTCCAAACAACACCACCCTGGGCAGCTGCTTATCGCAACACTCTCTGATTTTTCCTGATTTGCCCGTACCTGCCCAGTCGGAGAATTGGCCAATGCTTCACGCTGACCTTCGTGCCAAAACCCTGGACCCCAAGGAGGAGACTTCACGGCGGCCGCTTCCACCAAACCAACCCCTGGCCACGCAGCGTCTTCCGGACGAAAGTTGGAGAGCTACGCCCGGCCAGGATTTGTTCCTTTCGGACAACAGCCTGCCAGCCCCTCCTCTCCTCCTCGACTTGCTGGACGATGAGATGGGCTTACCCAAGCACGGCGGCTTCTTATCTTCCGAAGGCTCTTCTGGTAAAAGCGGCTTGGGAAAGGATCCGGGAGAAAATGTGCTTCAACGGCTGACGGTGAACACGGATCTGTCGGAAAGCGCGCCCAAACTGATGGTAGAACCGCGCCAGTCGAAAGGCCAAACCACTCCTCCCCCCGAGTTGCCCCGGCCATTGACAGAGGCAGCAGGGAAGCCCTGGAGACGTGCCAGCGATCCGGGAGCTTTCTCGGCCAACTTTTCTCCCGCCTTGGTGTCCTCCGGAGCTCATCCGTTTAGTTCGCTGGATTCTTCCGTGATTCCCGAAAGATCTCTGGCTCCGACTCACCAGCGGGCGGGCGAGAAATTTCAAAGTGGGGCCGAAGAAGACCAAGGAAAATTTACACCGGCTCTGGTTGGTAATAAACCTCATGCTTCGTCATCCTTCCAGCCGGTCCCGACAGCCGCAGATGTCAGAGAGCGGACGGACACCATGAAAGCCATCCTAACCAGCGTGAGCCAAAACGAACTCACACTCTCTGACGGGAACGTAGAGAGAGAGCCCAGAAATACGGGAATCTCTCCTTTTGACGAGGCGTCCTTCGTTGCACATCTGGCTCACCCGATTCATCATTCCACCCCCGGTTTTTGGGCAACCAGAAGCTTGAACTGCGACGCGCCCGGCACGGCATTCCCGTCCCGATCAGGATTCCAACATCCTCTTTCTTGCTTGCACGAAGAGATGTCAAAGACCTCGCATGCCAATGCGCGCAATTCTTCGACGGTGGAGCCTCGTGGAAACCCTTGCTCGTTTCCCACGAAGGAGAGTGATACGTCGCATGGCGCCCCGGGCTTACAAAATGAAAAGAGCGACGGTTTTACCATTCTGCAGCCTCTGAAAGGCCGGATTCAGTCCATGCCTTCTCTGAATTTCATGGAGAAGGTGGGAGCGTGGCACCTGAGCTCTTCGGCTGAGAAACTGCCTGACGTGTCAGCAGTACCTGGTTTGGGTACACCTGTACCTGGCTCTGGGGGCGTCTCCCCCATGCGGAAGGCCTACAGCGCAATCGCCGATTCCTTGAACCGCATCCTGCTCAAGCAGCAGAGTCTAGCTGACCTCAAGGCTGCCTCTTTTTATGGGCCGAGCTCCATGATCGATCTTCACAGCTCTCAAAAAGAGGTTCCTCCGCGTGCCTTGCCCTTTACCCGGTCGCAGTCGGAAACCTCGGTGAGCGCCCTCAGCCGCGAGATTTCGAGGACAGACATAGGGAGCGAAACCAGACCCAATGATGCTCTTCAGCGAGCGGACGTCTGCGCCAACGTTTCAACGGACTCTCGGCTCAAGCCGACGGTCGCGGCGGAGGAAGCCGCACTTCACCGACGTTACAAAGCTGTGCCCGTCTTTGTAACGGTCTCCAGTGACGAGGAAAGTGTTAGTACGGGGAGCCATTCGGATCCCCTAATTAGGAGCAGAAGGGTGGCCGAGCTCCTGCGAGGGGAAACCAGCTCGCTTGAGGGGAGCAAAGAAATATTGGGTGGCCCCCAAGAGAAGACGAGAGAATTGTCGGGCTGCGGGTTTCGTGCCAGTCAAACGAGGATGGATTATTTTCGAGAGCTTTCCCCGGATCATTTAAACCAAGGGACCGATTCCAGAACGGACAGCTGTACGGATTTGAGGGTGTCGTCCAGACAGTCTTCCAGATCTTCTCCGGCTTTGAACAAGTTGCAGAGCAGTTTGGAAGATGAATTGCAAGCTTCCAATTACAGCGAGCTCAATATAGATGAGAGAATACCGGTAAGGTTCATCACAGTCCTCTTTTTATTCTTCTTTTATTCTTTAAGGGGTAAGGCGGGACTAGAACTCACTGTCTCCTAGTGATTGGGCCAAAATTACCCAGCTGACTTTCATGCCTACGACTGGACTAGAACTCACTGTCTCCTAAAGTCACCCAACTGGCTTTTATGCCTAAGGCGGGACTAGAACTCACCGTCTCCTGGTGATTGGCCTAAAGTCACCCAACTGGCTTTTATGCCTAAGGCGGGACTAGAACTCACCGTCTCCTGGTGATTGGTCCAAAGTCACCCAGCCAGCTTTCATGCCTAAGGCGGGACTAGAACTCACAGTCACATGGTGATTGGCCCAAAGTCACCCAATCTTCTTTCATGCCTAAGAAGAGTGTAGAACTCACCATCTCTTGGTGATTGGCCCAAAGTCCCCCAGCCAGCTGTCAGTACCGTTGTAACATCGAACAGTCACTAAATGAAGTAAGTTGAGGAATACCTGTGTCCGTGGGCCACCAGAGGCCTCCTTAGGTATGACTGTCTAAAGACAGAGAGCCCTCAGAAATAAAATCCCCATAGAGTACACCACTTCACTTAGTGACCATTCGAACTTACAACAGCCCTGAAAAGGGGACTTACGACTAGTCTTCACACTTAACGACCGTTGCATATTTCCCCCCCCCCCCGGTCATGTGATCCAAATTCAGACGCATAACAACTGATTCCTATTTATGACGGTCACAGCATCCCGGGGTCACATGATCCCCTTTTTGCGACCTTCTGACAAGCAAAGTCAAGGTTGAAGCCGGATTCCCTTAATGACCCTGTTATTCATTTAACAACAGCAGGGATTCCCTGAACAGCTTTGGCAAGTAAGGTCGTAAAAATGGGCCCAAGCTCACTTAGCAACTGTCTTGCTTAGTGTTGTGGTTCGCTGGCAGCAAGTGTGCACGGCTGAGGAGAGCGAGGACTCAGATGAGGGGCCAGGACCATCAGGGAGTGGAGTACTGCCTTCAGAGATTGTGGGGGCTGGCAGCAGTGATGAGGAAATTCCCGAGGAGCCTGTGCCAAGTGCGCATGAGCTCATAGGAAAGAGCAGCTGCAGCAGCACGGGCGATTCGGGAGTAAGGCTGCAAGGTGATGGCCCCTCCTTCAAGAAGATAAAAGCCAGCTGTGAATCAGACGTTCTTCGCAGGAAGCAAAGACGTTTTGAAACTCAGCCTCGTGGACATTACAGTATCTCAAGTTGGTATTTGAAGACTCTTGTGTTGTGAAATATTTCTTATCTGTGATTCTTGGCAGCCTCGCACAGTTTTGGTGAGGTTTGTGCTTATCAAAGTTAATTAGTTTGCAGCAGCCTTTTAACCGGGGATTCGTAAGACTCATTAAAAGTTTTCTGTTCCCTTTGATTATTGCTTGTCTTACTAGAAAAGGGTTTGGGTCAGAACACTTAGCGACAGGAATTTTAGACTCAACTTATGTCCGTAAGTCGAGGACCACAGGCATTCAAAGTCCTCTTTCAACGTCACTTGCTGTTTTTTCCTCCCTTGTGAAATGATGGTGTTTGGGGGTGTCAGATGTTGAACTGAGTGTCGCCCAAGGCCAAACCCATCTTGTTGGCTTGCTTCTTCGGCACCTTCACGGCCTCCCTGTCTCCCACCCAGGTGTACCTCCACAACCTGGGCATTGATCAGTCGCCTTCTTCGATTCTGACTCCGTTCGTGCCTCGGGGACCCATACGAGAAATTGAATTCTCTCCGACGGATCTCCGGACGTTGAAAGCATCGTCGGATTTATTCTGCCTGCACCTCTCGGAAGGTACGCTGGGGAAACTTGTCTTGGGCCTCACCGGAGGGGATTAGGTTGATCTGGCAGGTGGGTTGAGTTGGGCAAGAAAAAAAATGGAAGAATGAATGAATATTGTTTCCATCTTTGTGCATATAAGATATGACCTTTATAGTCACTTTTTCTGTACACACGTTAAAAATGAAATTCTGATGCCTGCTCTCAAAAGAATGTCTCTCTCTGTGTGTGTATACACATACACACACACCCATACATACACCCATGCAGATGCTATATGGAATAGACTAGACCTAGACCTAGACCTAGACCTGGGAATGGGAATGGAACAGAACAGAACAGAACAGAACAGAATAAAATAGAATAGAATTCTTTATTGGCCAAGTGTGGTTGGACACACAAGGAATTTGTCTTTGGTGCAAATGCTCTCAGTGTCCATAAAATAAAAGATACATTCATAAAGAATCAATAATCATCAGGTACAACACTTAATAATATATATTACATACATACATACATATAAAATAGAAATACCTCTCACGCATCATCACAAAACCTCCAGAACCGCAAAGCCTGCAAACTTGAAATTTGGCACCTATGTTCCTCTTGGCTTCTAGGTGCTCACTAAGAAAGGATTTTTCCAAAGGATCCTCAGAGCATTTAGAGCATTTCCTATATTATTATTATTATTAACACGCTCTGATGCTAAGGAGTTCTACTCCCCCTCCCCACCTGGAAAGAAATCCCTTCCAAAGGCAAAACACAAGCAGAGGAGTTTCAGTTTTAGTTTCACAGCAGCACCAAGCAGCTTTAGGACAGAACAGTTGAGCTAAGCCACGCCCAGGCTCCTTGCTGTCTCCTTGCTCACACAGCAAATACTGTTTCAGTTTCCAAACAGCCCTCAACTCACACACTGACAGGACGCTAGCCAGGTGAATACCGATGGATGCTGGTAGGCAGAGGCAGAATTTTTTTTCTCCTTATTTTCCTCCCCCAAAACTAAACCCGATCACATAGTTTCGTAGTGAAGCATAGGTATCAATCTTTGTGCGTGTGTGCATGTGCGTGTCTATGTATACATACACACACATACACACATGTACACATACATACACATACACACATACACATATTAATCACAGTCCATTTTGAATATATAGCAGAAAAAAGAGCCTTGAGAGTTAATAAGGTCGATACTATATTCTACATATTATATACTGTGTTCTGTGTGCTATATATTATATACTATATACGCTATATCCTGTATAGTATACCATATACCAAGTTTCTCACTGCTGTTTACATATAACAGGTGGTCCTCGACTTACAACCGCAGTTGAGCCCAAAATTTCTGTCGCTAGTCAAGATAGTTGCTAAGTGAGCTTTGCCCCATTTTACGACCGTTCTTCTCTGTTGCCAAGTGGATCACTGCAATTATCAAATCAATAACCCTGTTCTCAAGTGAATCTGGCTCCCCCAGGTGACTTTCCTTATTAGAAGGTCGCAAAAGGGGATCACGCGACACACACCCCCCACCCCCGGGGACGCTGCGCCTGTCGTAAATACGAGTCAGTCGTGCAACAGTCTGAAATTTGACCTCCTGACCACAAGGAGGCCACAGCAGTCGTAAGCGTGAAATACGTTCCCAGGTCACTTTTTCCAGTGCCGTTGTAACTTTGAACGGCCATTAAATGAATGGTTGTAAGTCAAGGACTCCCTGTGATAGCCGTTGATGTTCACCTGTTGATGGTTATCCGACACATCTGGAGCGATTTTGTCTCTTTCGAAGAACTGTCGGCAACCGACTGTGCTTGTTTTGTTGTCTGACAACCACTTTTGAGGGGAATCGACCTCTGGTGGGATTCAAATTTTTTTATTACCTGTTCTGTGGGGGTGGCTTGGTGGGCGTGGCTTGGTGGGCGTGGCAGGGGAAGGTTACTGCAAAATCCCCCTTCCCTCCCCACTCGACTAGCCTGCTTTCCAGCTCCATTCTCCTGGGCAGGGCAACCAAAGGAGACCCAGACGATCAGCTGGGAGGCAGAGAAGAGATGGGGTTGGCAGGGCCAGTCAGAGGTGGTACTTGCCGGTTCTCCAAACTACTCAAGATTTCCGCTACCGGTTCTCCAGAACCGGTCCAAACCTGCTGAATATACCACCTCTGGACATCACCCTTTGAGGACCTTGTGCCAAAGGTGATCTGCACAAACCCAGGTTCAATCGAGGTTAAAGAGAACCTGCAGCTGTCTGTGAAGACTCTCAAATCCTTCAGGTCCGAGTTGACCCAAAGATGTTTTTTCCCCAAAGGAAACTAGACCTTCTTGGGGGGGGGGGGGGTTGTTCCTTGAAGATCTTTTGCTTCTCATCCAAGAAGCTTCTTCAGGTCGAACTGGAGAAGAACGGAAGAAGCTTCTCGGATGAGAAGCGACACGTTTTCAGAAAAATAAAGCAAGAAAGTCTAGTTGCCTTTTGGAAAAAGCACCCCTGGGACAGAACCAGGACAGCCTTATGTGCAAATTTGGGGGTGCCCAGGCCGGGCTCAAGAAGCTCACCATAACTCCAGAGCGGTGGTGGGATACAAATTTTTTTTACTACCGGTTCTGTGGGGTGGCCATGGCAGGGGAAGGTTACAGCAAAATCCCCCTTCCTTCCCCTCCCCACTAACCTGCTTTCCAGCTCCCTTCTCCTGTGCAGGGCAACCAAAGGAGACCCAGCCGATCAGCTGGGACTCAATGGGAGACAGGCAAGAGATGGGGTTGGCGGGGCCAGTCAGAGGTGGGATTGGCCAGTTCTCCCAAATACTCCAAATAATACCACCTCTGGAATCGACCCTAATCAGACAACCTGACATCCCTTTAATTTTCTTTCCAAAGACTCGCACTCTCCGAAAGACGCTACGCAGTTGACCTTCGACTCTTCGCTGCTGGGTGGGCCCTCTCTGGCAGGATCGACCGTTGTCTCTGACTCGTCACAACCCGCCAAGCCTTCTCCGCAACACACCAGTGATCTCCTCCAGCCGAGCAGCTCTCCCTGGAAACCTCGTGCTGTCACACCCCCGCGCACCACCTCTGTTCCCGAGTCCCTGCCTGCTCCCGTTTCAACCGAAGAGACTCAAGTCATCCCAGGATCTCCCTCCAGCTTGGAAAGATCCACAACACGTCTGGCGTTGCCAGAGGACAATTTAGACCCGACCAAACTCGGCGCGAGTCGAGTAAAATCCGGGTCTTCGTCTCAGGACCGTGATGAGAAGCCTGCAAGCGAAGGAATCCGATCTTCGGGCACAATTCCTGGTGGAGAGAGAGACGATTCCTTCACAAGGTCAAACATCCCAGAAGAGAGCCAGAAGCTTCCAGCGGAGGTTGACTCCAGACCTTCCAGTACAAAATTCAGATCTCGTTTATCCCTCTCTTCTTCTTCCGGTTCGCTAAAACCAATCGACCGCGACGATTTATCCGGAGATCCTGGATCGATCCAGAGAAGCACGCTAGGCATTCAAAGAGGCTGGTCATGGGATGAGGGCATGGACAAGCAGGAGATAACCGGTAGCTTAAAATGGGAAGATCTGCAGAGGGTGGACTTCTTCGCCGAGAAGCCAGCGGTATCTCAAGAGCTCAGGCCGGGATCCCAGAGAGCGAACGAAGACCGCGGGAGGATGCAACCCATTGCGCGATCCGATCCCGAAGGTTGCCCCAAGACGGCTGTGAATTGGAATCTCCCCATTCCAACAGGCAGGTCTACAGATAGTCAAGCAAGCCCTTCTTCTCCAACCCTCCAAGGGATCCAGTCCGTTTCCAATACGGACGACGTGTCTAAACTCTTGAGAGGCTTCCCGCGAGTCGAGCAGAAAGCAAACGGAAGTCATCCGAAAGAGATGGGCGGCTCGCAGGAAAGCGCCGAGAGCAGCAGCGTGGACTCTCTGGGCCTCAGAGTGAAGACACTCCTCCAGTATGGACATCCTGCGATGCACAGAACGCCTCGGATGGAGGAGCGCGATGGGTCCAGTGCGAAAGAGCCCTCTGTTTCGGGCACCGGCTCAGCGTTCAGCAGAGGGGGCGTCGGTGCCCAAGGAAGCAATAACGGGAGCAGTATGGACTCGTTGGCGATACGGGTCCAAACCCTCCTGGAAGAGGAGCAGCCTGTGCTGCATGCAACACAGATACTCCGGAGCGTCGAGGAAGAAGAAGAAAAAGCCCGCGGTAAGGACGCTCCACGTTGTGTGATTTATTGATCACCTTTATCTGCCACATTTTATTTATTTTATACATTTGTAAGCCACCTTTATTACTTTTTACACATATCTCAAGGTGGTGAACATATCCAACACACCTTCCTCCTGCTATTTTCCCCACAACAACAACCCTGTGAGGGGGGCTGGGCTCAGGGAGAGAGACAGACACAAAGAAAGAGAGAGAGGGAGGGAGAGGGAGAGATTTTGTTGTCACCCAGTTGGTTTGCATGCCTGGGTTGGGACTAGAACCCACCATCTCCTGGTGATTGGCCCAAAGTCACCCAGCCAGCTTTCATGCTTAAGGCGGGACTAGAACCCACCATCTCCTGGTGATTGGCCCAAAGTCACCCAGCCAGCTTTCATGCATAA